ATTCTATCTAATCCGCTGTTCTGTAATTTTCCATGTATTCCCCTCCCATCCCTGCTCGGGAAAAATATCGTGCACCCAGTCAACCTAAACTGACAAAATACGAGCGCCGTAACAGTGTATCGTCTGTACGCTCCAGCGTAACCGGGGATGTTCGTCATGGTTCACCGACTGTCCCGTACAAGGTGTCTGCTCCTCTCGTTGGGATGCGTGCCTCGTCTGAATCATTGGCTCTCGGAAGTAAGTCTATGCACGGTTTTCTGCTATCACATTCTCGCAAAATTCTGTTCAATTTGTGCTCCCTCCCTTGAAGATGCGTCGCATCCGACGGAGTCGCACTCGTACACACGCGCATACAGTGTTTTTTCCCACTTCGTTCACCTATCCTACTTATCAATAATATATTCATACCGATGTCTTTCATGTTCCACATTCCCCTATGACACAATCCTCGTTTTCTCACACTATCGACTAAATTCATTCATCGCTTGTCCTGGTCGAAATTTAGAGATCCTTTATTATTATTATTTTTTTCTTCATTCTTGTTGACCTCATGTAGCCATCCGTTTAAACAACCATAAACATTCATTCTAAAGTGGAAGTGCACCTCGTCAGGAATTCGATGTCGCTGTGGGCTACACATCATATTGTACTTACATACAGACACACGTGCTTGCACGATCGCCCCAAATCAGTCTGGCATGAATCGAACCCTCATCCTCATTTGTGACAGGTAACCAGCCGGCCGGCCGACCGACCGACCGACCGACTGGTTGGTTGGTTGGTTGGTTTGTTGGTCCAGTCTGACTCTGTATATGTATATAGTTAGTTAGTGCACGAACACAAGGCACGAGGTAATGCATGGTCGTAAAAAGTAACCCCGAACCGGCGGTATTCAGCGGTGCCGATTGTGTGCGCGTGTGTGCCAGCAGGTGTGTAAAAACACCCCTGTGCTGTGACCCATCGAATTTGGCAAAATTTCACCGCAAACACTCGGTGGTTTTGAGAAAAAAAACAGAACACCATACGTGCACCGGATGCCAACAGTTCGCCCCGCTAGATGGATTGTGCTATATAGATGATGTTTCACACATCCTTTGGATAACACAACCGGATCATCTATTCGGAGTGTGGTCCGTTTTCGTGTAAACATAGCAGATAGCATGAAGTGGACTAGGAGAACTAGACTGGATCCAAGTGAAATGAGCCTTTTGAACACCAGTTTCATATGGAAAAGCTGCGTCGAGATAGTTCGTACACAAATTGTCTTTTCCTTTTCGAAAGCAGTCCCGT